AAAGCCAATATCTGAGACGGCTGCACAAGGGCCAGCTCTCCATCTCCGACATCAGCCGTAGCAAAGTTAAGGGGGGTGCAAGGGGTATTGAAGCGATACATATAGCCTAGCTTACCCAAAAGTCAACCTCACCTTCACGTGATGCACCCTGTTTACACAAACGAGGCTCTGACGTCCGAGTATAGGCGGTATAACCTTATGCAACCCTCAGACTTACCATCTTCTGGGGAAAAGGAGTAGTAAAGTACACCTAGCTGGCCGAGAACGTAGCACAAGGAACTATCGTCGCGGTCCTCACTGTGCCATAGCCATCCCGTGCTACAGTTGCAGCCAAAACTGTGCCGCAGCGTAACCGCCACAGTTAAACCTTTTCACGCAGCTTACACACAAAAATGATGGAACATTCGAGTGGGACAAAATTATCATCCGGAGGTAAAATACCCCCTCAATCGGAACTCCGGGAGGGGGTGCCTACTCGAGAGTATCATCGGAAAAACAAAAAACATCAATGTTTCACGTTTGCGGCGTGGAACGTCCGCACTCTACTGGACAAGATAAATTCAAATCGACCAGAGAAAAGAACAGCACTGGTCTCACAGGAACTCCACTTAAATATAGATGTTGCCGCTCTAAGCGAAACCCGCTTTGCGGATGAAGGTAGTCTCACTGAGGAGCATTACACCTTCTTTTGGAAAGGTCACCCCGCAACACACAGAAGAATTCATGGCGTAGGCATTGCGATCAAAAACGAAATCGCCACTAAATTAACAAAAGTACCTATTGGTGTCTCCGAACGTCTTATGACCCTAAGGTACCCCATATCAGACAAAACTTACGTCAACATCATTAGTGCCTACGCTCCCATCCTTGACGCTAAAATTGAGGATAAGGATAAATTCTACCAAGCTTTACAAAATGCCCTCCAACGAACTCCAAAGCACGAACGGATCATCTTGCTAGGTGACTTTAATGCCCGTGTTGGCAAACAACAGGAAATGTGGCCTGACGTATTGGGAAAACATGGAATGGGAAACGTAAATAGCAATGGTGAACGCTTATTGCATCACCAATACGTGGTTCATGTTGAAGGACAAGTTTAAAGGTACCTGGAAACATCCTAGATCAGGCCACTGGCATCAATTAGACCACATAATCGTTCGAAGGACGCATCTAAAAGATGTTACGATCACAAAAGCCAGAATAGATGCCGAATGCGGCACTGACCACCGACTTTTAATTTCAAAAATGAAAATCCAGTTAAAACCCAAACATCCACACTGTAAAAAGCAAAACAATATGACCAGATTGAACGTACGGGGTCTAGAGAACAACAATACCGCCGACGCCCTCCGGGAATCCATCAAAGATCACTTCCACCGATAACTTCAATCTCAATCTTGGAAGCTGAACAAGGTTGGACACAATTAAGGGATGCGATTCATAAAACCAGCGAAGCAGTACTGGGAAAGTTGAACAAAAAGAAACAACCAGAGTGGTTTAACGAAAATCAACAGCATATACAGGTTTTGTTGGAACAAAAGCATAGAGCACACCAAGCAGTTACTGCAAATCCACATAATCCAAGACTGGTAGACAACTTTAAAGAGCAGCCAACAACACACTTCGAAGAGAACTGCGCCAAGTAAAGGATAACTGGTGGTTAGAAAAAGCGAATCAGATTCAGGAGTATGCCACGCATCACGATTATCGTAAATTTTTTGAGGCTGTAAAAGAAGTATACGGTCCAACCAAGAAGGTAAGCTGCCCAATCATGGCACAAAATGGCGAACTTCTAAAAGAGGAAGAACAAATCCGAAATCGCTGGAAAGAGCATTACAGCCATATCCTTAACCAAGAAAACAACCCCAATATGGAAGCACTAAACACAATACCTCAGTATAACAGCCTCGATGTATTAGACATCCCAATAACAGAACAGGAAATAGAGACCTCCAGAAAACAGCTTAAAAACAACAAATCAGCTGGCTGTGACGCGATTCCGGCGGAAATCTATAAGTGTACAAGTAAAGAACTTATTGGTCATCTTAAGGCTCTCTTCGATGTCGTATGGGAAAGCGGAGAGGTACCTCAGGACTTTCGCAACGCGAATATAGTGAATATATTTAAGAACAAAGGAAGTGCATCAGACTGCGGAAATTACCGGGGAATTTCACTATTGGCTATGAAAATTATGTCAAACCGCCTGCACCCATACATAGAAAAAATCCTTCTAGAATCGCAAACGGGTTTTCGTACCAACCGCGGCACCGTCGATTCCATATTTTCCATCCGTCAACTACAGGAAAAAGTAAAAGAGCAGCAGTCTAAACTTTATGTTGAATTCATCGATCTAACAAAAGCCTTCGACTCTGTGAACAGAGATGCGCTTTGGGCAATTATGAAAAAGTTCGGAGTACCCAACAAATTTCTTACTTTGTGTAAAAGCCTCCATAACAACAACAAGTCCAGAGTGTCACATCATGGATCACTGAGCGATCAATTCCTAACAAATACAGGAGTTAGGCAGGGATGTGTCTTAGCGCCTCACCTATTCAACATATTTATGGCAGCGCTCTCCATTATAGTGGACAGCAAACTGCAGGAGAGAGGATTGGGCATTAGATACAGATACGACGGCGGTCTGTTCAACATAAAAAGACTCAGGGCAAAAACACGTACAAAATTCATCACAGAACTCCAATACGCTGACGACTGTGCTCTAGTTGCAAACACGGTACAACAATTACAAGAAACGTTGAACACATTTACCTGGGCATACGAAGCTTTGGGCCTTAAGCTAAACATCGACAAAACCAAAATCATGTGCACTCCCCCGGAAGATCATAACAATGCTATAAAAATCGGAGAAGAAGTATTGGAATATGTGGCGGAATTCAATTACCTTGGCTGTTTGATTTCGGAAAAGGCCAATATTGACTCTGAAATTCAGCACAGGATTAGTAGCGCTTCAAGGGCATTCTGGAAATTAAAAGGGTTTTCTACAATCATGACTTGAGTACCAAAACAAAACTTGCAGTGTACCGAGCAATTATAATCCCCATCATGTTATATAGGAGTGAAACCTGGGTGCCGTATCGCCGACACATAAAAGCATTAAACAAGTTGCAACAGAGACACCTTAGACAACTCTTAAGAATCCGGTGGTTCCATCATGTCTCAAACGTATCGGTCCTTGAAAAAGGTAACTGCGAGAGTATTGGAGTCATGGTTACAATCCCGCTTAAGATGGGCTGGTCACGTATGCAGAATGCAAGAAAATCGCATACCAAAATCTCTGTTTTACGGTGAGCTTGTAGACGGTAAGAGGAGGCCGGGTGGACAACTGAAAAGGTACAAGGACATTTTCCACGAAAACTTAAAGGGGATTAACATGCAGAATTAGTGGGAAACGTCAGCTCACAATCGAACTCAATGGAGAAGAGTTGTAAACTCAGTTAACAGCGATAACCAAAAAGTAAAGAGGCAACAAAGCAATGAGATTTTTGAATGTCCGGAGTGCGGTAGGCAGATAACATCACGTATCGGGCTTTTCAGTCACAGAAAAGCTCATGAAAGAAAACGCCTTGCGTGACCATCTTCTTTATGTGTGTCGAATACTCGTCAGCGAGTAACGGCTGTATGTATGTATGTATGTATATGGTTAGTACAAACGGTTGTCGTCTCGGTGCACTCAGTGATGAGGTTTTTTGGTGTTTCCCCATAGAATCTGCATTCATCGTTGTTTCTAAGCCTCAATCTACTGAGGTGTTCGCTAAGGACACAGTGCCCTGTACCCTTAACAATACGAAGATTGTATCAAAGAAGATCTTTAATTTCTCTCGGTCGTAAGTTCTGAGAAATTTTTTCGAATGTCTTAGACCGTTGAAGGATTCCCATTCCAGGTTAAGATGGAGTCTTCCAGGTTCTTCAGTTCCGCGTTAAGTTGGTTTCCACTTGAAGATCAGAACGATTCTGGTCCAGTTAATGGACTATTCGCTCCTGCTAGATCGTTTTCTTTTCATTGTCTTCTATCCCTTGGTAAGCGGAGCCCAGAGTAGAAGGACTTTATTTTGGTGGCCTAATTTGTTCAGTTTCTCTATTTTTTGCTACTTAAATTTCTAAAAAGATATGGAAATTCTTACTACCAATTTCATATACATTTTATACTATGCTAGATACGTACTTACAACCATTTGTTTTTTGAAAATTGTGTTCGTGATGCCTATATGCGTTTTATTATCAAACTTTATTACGAACGCGTAACCTTAAGGGATTTAGGGTGTTAACTTCGGGATTTCTACATGTAAAATCTATTGACACATACTGCTCATGCACGCCGGCTTGAGTCCGGATGATTTGATGACATTCTAGATTGAATTTTAAAATATGATTTTTTATTAAGCGAGAGTGTCAAAATTTGACATAATATGATATGTTATTCTATTCAGAATGTCATTTTCTGTCATTTCTGTCTTTAAAAATCAAAAGTTGTAGTCATTTCCGGTGAAAAAGGAAATGACCAAAAACAATTGAATACGTCAATCAATCCTAATTTATGTCATATACTAACATACCAAATCTGTTTTTTTTATCTAAAAAAATAAAAAAGTTATAGGGGTGAGCCACTTTTGAGACGCACGCGATATAAACATTTAATTTTTAATCAATGGTAATAGAGTTTTAATCAGCTTCTGTTAATCATCAAACGCGTTCAGTGTTTAAAGTGTTTTGGAGTATTATGGTAAAATAATATGGTGAAATTGTTTGGAGTATATGGTGAAAAAAGACACTATTTCGCAGTGTTAGATCTAAAGGTATTTTATATGGCTTTAAGAAAATCTTGAAATTTACAAAAATTAAAATCATTTATACGGGATTTCTTTATTATTGTATGAGACTATAGATCTTGCTAATGTCCTTATAATAATACTAGAATATTTAAATTAGTAAATCACTTAATTATTCTACATTTTGATTAAACATATAATGGTGGTACTTACCCCAGGTTCAAGTGACAGCACCGTAAGCCCAAATTGTAACAAATATAGCCATAGTAGACCTGAAACGAAATTATAAGAATTATTAAAGGCATTCGCAATAAAATTTATTTATTAATCCTCATATACTTGTGTTTCCTTGCTTTTAATAGAATATAAATAAATTGAATCATTCGACTAGAATTTCATGCTATTTTATAGCAAAAGGTTTTGCAAGTACGTTTCGAAAAGTTTAAGGTTAAAATACTTATCAGCCAACACCTGCAATTAGATTATGTTTGCAAGGTAATATGCTATAGGTTATTGAACATTTAAGAAGGAAATGTATACTTAACACAACTATTTATATTAAAAATCTACCTCATACAACATAATATACTCGTACACTGTTTGACATAGAAATTGCGACACCCAGTAAATGTAAATTTGTTTTATTAATATTTTAGGAAGTAGTTGGTATATTTCTCTGCAGAGAAATAGAGAAAAGTATTATCAACGCGAAAAAAAAACCGGATGTCTAAATGGAATATTATGGAGCAAATCAATAACAAAGCGAAGGAAATTCAAAACTATACGAAACCATGATAAAGAGCAACCTCCTGTATGTAGCAGAATAATGGAGAATAACAACTAAAAAATACAAGAAGAGGATAGAGGCCGTATAAATGGATGCCATTCGAAGATCAATAGGAATTTCAAGACAACAACGAATAAAAAATAATACCATAAAATAACAAATGGGTATAGAAGGTACGATAACACAGGATATAGAGAAAAGCAGCGGATCTGGTACGGACATGTAGAGCGAATGAAGGGTACTAGATGACCCAAGAAAATAATCAATTGGCAACCAAGGGGCACAAGAAAACAGGGAAGACCGAAACTGGAATGGCAAAAGAGCATACACAAAGCGATGAGTGAAAGAAACCTGTCAACAGAGGATTGTACGAATAGAACAGGCTGGAAATTGAGTATCGTACAACGTAGAAAAACGTTCTAAACCGACGTTGTTTGGTATAAATATGAATAACAATTTATTGAAAGGGATTCTTAACAATGCAATAGTGAGTTGCACCTCCACGTAAGTTTCCAAATTCTGTAACTCTTCGCGGCATGCTGCGAATGAGATGATCGATATCTTCCTGTGGTAGGTCTCCTAAGCTAAGGTTACCACGTGACCTAGACGTTGTACATCCAGCCGTTTTTGGCCTATCAGATCCCAGACATGTTCAATAGGTGATAAGTCTGGTGACGTTGTAATTCACGGGAGAAAGGCGATATTAGCTTGTCGGAGGAAGTTTTTAGTAACAGCGGTAAGATTTTAGTAATGCGACAGGTTGTAACACGCTATTACTGTAAGATTGCGCGTTCGAGATTCTGTCTATAAAAACTAAGGGTTGGCTGCTTCCAATTGTTATAGTACCACAAACTGTAACGCCCCTAGTAGGCGCAGTCTCACGCTCATATCAATGAATGGAAATAAATATCAACATAGACAAAATAAACTGGGATGATCACAAAAACACCCATAAATATTTTGGAATTGAAACTTAAATTTAGCGTCAGATGGACATTCCTGGAATGTTATGTCTGGTCACAGTTACTGCATTGGCTGGAAGTATGGACGCTGAAGGAACAAATAATGAAAAAAGTCGAATCCTTTGAGCTATGCTAAAAAACGAATCATCATCATCATGATGAAGCTTATTCCGTCCACTGCTGAACAAAAGCCTCCCTACTCTAGCCATATTTTGCTATTTTGTGCCACTTGCATCCAATTTCCAGCCAGTTTCTTATCTGTCCATCGACAAGGAGGTCGTCCTCTGTTTCTATAGTCTTAATGTCTCCACATACAGGATCAAACCATCGGCCCAGTCTTGGTACAGAACTGGTTCAGTACTGTAAAGATCTGGGCCAACTATGCATACCAGTTTTGGCCCAGCTTTGGGAATAGCTTGGAAGGATAACGTCGTGCCAGGCTTGGTTGTCAAAATTGGGCCAAGCTAGAACACCAAGGCGCGATGCTTGATTACCAGTGTTGGGCCAAACTTAATCACCAACCAATTTTGATCCCCAAGGCTAGGCCAAGTTTGATCACCAATACTGTGCCATATTTGTATACTAGTTTTGGCCCGACTGTGGTTATGTGGTGTTATTGTGGTTGTCGAATTAAAACATCGGGTGAGACTTTGAATCCGACGTTGGGCAATCACTGATCGTCAAGGCTGGGCCTGGCTTGAATGCCAAGGCCAAGCCATGTTTGATCGCCGAGAGTTTAATTGTCGAGTTTCATCCAGCAGCAAAAAAACAATTGTTTTTGAACCCAGCATTTGGAATAGAGCTAACACACAAATAATTACATTCATATATTTAGATTAGATTTGAGAAAAGCATTTAACAGCCGTACATCTGCTTCTGTTTAAAGCTTGCCAAGCCACAAAATAGGAATCAACTGATTCAGCTGGGTCGCCGTAGAATGGCCGGAGCTGAGATTCCCAGTGTTGGGCCAAAGTTGGGTGAATTAAGAGATGGCTAAGACTTGATTTCTCAGCCGTGGCCCAAGATAGGGTGAACATAGTATTAGCCAAGCCTGAATTACCCAGCTTTGGACCAATCTTGGTGTGCCGAAGCCTGGTTTACTGCGACTGGGCCACGCTTAGCCCCGTTATCAAACTACGGGGACTGCTGTATGGGTCGCCACATATTCTGCCCAATTCCACTTAATAAACCCTAACGTAACGGAACCTCTACGCGCTGGAGCTATGGAGACTCGGTTTATATTCAATACTAGAATTTAAAGGACTAATAAAAATATAGGATCTTCTTTCAATGCGCAGTAGGGAACGCAACGTTTACAGGCAGCCAAACGGGCCGCATGCTATTCCAGAAAGCATAGTAAACGATATATTAAAGACCCAGCTTTCTTAAAATACTTGTTTTCTCGACGTTGCCAGCTCTCGTATTATGGCACGAATGGTTGTCCTCTCGGCGCACTCAGTGTTAAGGTGTACTGGTGTTTCCCCATTTTCCCAACAGAATCTGCATTCGCTGTTGTTTCTTTGCTTCAATCTGCAGACGTGTTCATTGAGGAGACTGGGATATAGTTTTTACACCATAACATGATAATGCTAGTGACTTCAAGCAGTTGATTCTTTCCACAAATCATTTCTATATCTCGATCTCAATAAAGGCTGCATATTTTTAAATAATCGATATTGATAATTACAGCTTTATATAAATATTACTAAATAATAAGAACATAAATAATACCTTGTTTCTGCCGCAGACTGTACGATCAAGTATCATTTTCCGGTTTTGTTACGTAAATAATTATTATTTAAATTCAGATAGTAAATGGCAAATTACCGTATAACTGTAACTGGGAGGCCAAACGCAAGTATTATTTATAACATTTATTTCTGTTCGAGAAAATTATAGTCACTACAGAAATCGGTGACTTATTACTGTGCAATACGGTGCGATATTTTTTATTTATTTTTTAAATATGTTACAAGTGTCCAATATTATGATTCTATTGGTGTCATGTTTTAATTGTCTTCAAATTCTTCAAAATTCAAAATTCTTCAAATTTAGATAATCTCTATACAGTTTTTTTTTTCACAATATTTTTTTATTTAATCATTTATCATCAAATTTTAAATATATTAATTTCCTGCTGTAAAATCGCTTATATCTGGGGCTTACTCAACCGGGTCTCACAATGCAAATTCACCTCAAATATCCATTTAGTTGGTCATTTAGTCGGATCTATTGGTTAATAATCTTCAACACAACTAGCTAGTGTCACCTGAAATAGTATAGGGGCTTCCCCCGAACGCAAATCTGCCGCTAAACAGATTCGCATCCCAATCGAATAGGCTAATTGGGGTAACTCACTACCCCAACGCTGCATCGTGTCAATCGAGAAGACAAGGGAGACCTCAAACTCTCAAGACCAACCTCGAAGGCAAGGCGTCACAAGAGGTTTTCTTCTCAAGGTCAAACGACCCGTTGCCTTATAGTACATGCAACGTTTATAGTCAAAAGACTCGCAACCCCCAAATGACAGCTCTATGACAAAACACAACACAACAGCCGGCCGGCCCGTCTACTACTGACCTGCCGCTGGCAAGCTAAGCCTTCTCTTACATCACAATTTTACCTGATCACAAATATTTACATCGCTTGCCAATGAATCATACTATTTTCTCTAATCGACTTTCAAATAGAGTGTTTTAGCATTACTAGATAAATAAATAGAGTTTCCGAATTATAAAACCATAGATTATAACCAACTTATTTTCCAAGTTTTACACTGCTATGCGTTCCAGTTGTACCAACTTATTTCTTTGTAAAATAAAATAAACTAGGTGCTTTGAAATTAAAATAACAGACACATCTATCACTGTCAAGAATCTTATCGTTGGATAGACTATACATTTTACTGTATCAATTAAAGTAGTTCCAAGAGATATCCCTTATGTTTGTCATTCGTAATATTTTAACTCCAAAAGGCTCAAAAAAATATTTTTTAAAGAATCATCTTGTATTGCTTAAATAAATCACGCCTTCAAACTCTTCCTGTAATAGTTATAGGTGATATTAATAGCTAAATATTCTATTTTCATGCCAAGCGAATATAATCATTAACTCTTTAAACTAATTAAATCAATCTGGCTGTCTTACACCGTGAAATTAATTACGTAATATCTAAAATTTATGTAAAAGTTAATAAATCGCCAGTGTGTAGCAACAACAAACAACTTTAAAAGGTTAGTTGAACACGGCTGAACGTGAATCTTCAATCTTCTCTCTCCTGACATCTATAAATTTAATCGATTGAAAATACAGCTTTATCGCAAAAAATGTCAATAATTTTCATGTGCAATTTTAACAGTAGATTTTTTTTAAAAAGAAGAATTTTCTAAAGGATTTTTTCGGTTAGTAAATGTACAGGGTGTCTCATTTTCGTGTGTTGGGATACAAAGATGCGGTTTCTGCATTATTTCTTCTTCTCCTTTTTTGATGAATTTTACGACTCCCCTAGTATCTCTTTTATCTTATAATTTATCGAAAAAATGACAATTGACATTCATAAGGATTTTCATGTAGAATTAAGTGACGTAACTAGTTTTTCGCTAGAAGCTGTCATTCATGAAATGTTACTCAAACCTATGTGTGTATGTGTGACCATATTTGTGACACCTTGTGTGTGCAGTAGTAGTATTTGTGACATACGTCTCAATTATGGTATACATACACGCGTATACCACAATTTTCTGATAGCAAATTCGATATCCTCGGGTCAAAATTAGTCTGGTCGGCTAGATCCGAAAAATTACGTGTGTAAGTTTCCACAAATAATAATATTTATTGGTATCACACACTTTCAGAATTGTGGTAACCTAAACTTCCCTGTATCGCAGCGCCATCTACATTTTTATACACATTCATATTTGTGGTAAACCCGGCGATTAGATGCGTACATTCCCGAAACGTACCGATTCAGAATACACACCATATTTAATTTCTATTCTTTTTGTTTTCTGTTGCGTTCCAAATTTTTAAGAAATATTTGGGAATGTACAGGTGGCGCCTCTCATACGCCGCGGAGGCTCTAAGGAGAACGACAGTTTGTATTGAAATAAAATTTTTGTGAGCATATGTAGTTTAATTCAGAGCACTTTTTTAAAATATAGAGACTTCTACAGGGTGTCCCCAAAAAAGTTACATATCAAAGTTGTATTTTTTGTAATGTATTATATATGTATGTACCCTATATATTAATCGATTTTCGGATTCTGGGGAGAAAAAATAAAGGTGAGTTTTATAAGAGAGTATATGACTAAAATGTAAAGGTTTTAACATATTTAACATCTTCTAGAAATAATTTTTTTTTAATTACAATAAAGTTACCTAAATTGGAATTTACCTGGTATAGCATAATATATAGTTAAATTAACTATTGTACTTTTAAATCAAATTAAAACTTGATCCAAAAATTATACAGGGTGAGACAAAAGTAATATTGAACACTGGTCACCTTTTAAAGAATGTTACTCTTTTATTTTAAATGGAACACCCAATGTATTATTCAGATATTCAATGGAGAATTCATGTCTCTTCAAAAAATACTATTAAGGTTGCCTACCCCTCAAACAAAGAGATTTTCCTAGATATTTTCATTTACATGATTTGATCTAAGTAGATCTTTATTATTTAGGTGTAAAATAGCCACCTAGATAAAATCTAGGTGTGGCTCTGATATAATCTGACGTTACTTCAACATAGCTGTCTAATTAATCAAACTTTAACAACTAGTTATCATTTTGTGTCAGTTAAAAACAAAAATTTCTCAGAAATTTGCCGAAAATGCAAACTTATCCTACATCAGAGAGAATTGATATCATTCTATTAGTTGGTGTTGTTAAGTTAGGTTGTATTTGCAGTGTGCATTCACCAATTAATATAATACTTAAATGTTTCTGATTTTTTTATCAAGTTTGGTTTTTATGGGGATATGTTAAAAGACAGTGTTTACAAAACTCGACCAATTATTGTCGACAACATGAGAGAAATCATTGTAGCTGCTCTTCTAGGCAGAACTCCACATATGCCTTTTAAATGAAAAGATCCTTTTGAAAAAGACAATTATTTTATGCAGTTAGTAGTATGCAAACAGGAAAGGGGAAGCATTTTGAGCATTTGATTTCATTTTTTGTCACATAATTATAGGTTTATGTCTAGTTTTAATTCTGTCATAATTGAAATATGTTTTAAACGTGTATCTTTTTATTACCGTTGAGTATTTTACTCTACAATCTTTAATTTTTGTTAAATTAACAAAAGGTAGTATCACACAGCCACCATAGATTTCTTCAAATAATAAAGATTTACTGACGTAAAATCATAAAAAATAAAATATCTAAGAAAGAGAAATATTTGTCTAAGGGTTGGTTGTAGCCTTAATAATATTTTGAAGATATACAAATTCCCAACTGAACACCGGGAAAATATGCTGGATGTTCCTTTTAAAATAAAGGAGTAACTTGCTTTTAAAAGTGGCTAATGTTCCCATATTAATTTGGTTTCACTGTATAACTTTTCGAGTCAAATTTCAATTTGGTTTAACATACAATAGTTACTGTAAAAAATATCAGGCTATACAAGATTAACTAAAATTTAGGTAGCTGTTATCGAAATTTAAAATTCTTCGTTTTCAAAAAATGTGAAATATGTCAAAATCCTTAGATTCTTTAATAAAACTCACATTTATTTTTTATTTGCTAGAATCCAAAAATCAATTAATATATAGGGTGTTCCGTTAGAAAAAAATGTGACATATGTCAAAATCCTTAGATTCTTTAATGAAACTCACATTTATTTTTTATTTGCTAGAATCCAAAAATCAATTAATATATAGGGTGTTCCGTTAGAAAAAACATAACTTTGATGCCAAAATCTCATTTCGATATAAACTACCGTTCTCCTTGGAGCTTCCGCGGCGTATGAGAGGAGCCATCCTGTATAAGGTAGATTTTCAATCATTTAGCTGCGCATGGACAAACACAAATGC